GAAACACCCACGCTCGTGCTGTTATCTGAGCCGGAGGCTGGCAGGACATGCTGGCCGCGGGGGGAGGGCTGCTGCGAGGGTCTTCCCCTTCCGCTCCTCCCCTCCCCACCCTCCCCCTCCCCGTTCGCACGCGCCACACCGCGGCGCCCGCGCCCGCAGCTCACCGGCCCGGCTCGTACTCCCCGCACCCGCGCTGCTGCTGTGCATGCCGCGGGTGTCGGATCTTTCTCGAACTCTCAATAAAATGACGACGCTGTGAATTAGCGGCCAGCGGCGAGGCATTGTTCGTACTTCACAACATGACTTCGTGACCGGTCGAGCCGAGCCGAGTCCAGCCGAGCCCAGCCGAGCCGAGCCGAAGAGTGTCAAACGGGACGCGCCTGGTTATTAGCGTGTGGGGGTGTCGCGTCGTGTCGGAGCCGCAGGCCGCCGCAGGCAGTCGCGTCCGAAGCGCTTACGTCAGATATTTTAATTGCAATCGCACTTTGCGGCTGTCTCGCCGGGATTTCTCGCGAAAGCGAAGGCAGCGCCGTGTTTGTGAGCGGCAGCAGCAGCGGAAGACCAGTGATGATATGCTGTGAATGACATGTTGTCGCGATGCTGTTGTTTCCTACAACGGAGGAAAGTTCTGACTTAAAAATAAATCGTAAACAAAACCAATTTTTGTGCGCATGAGTGTTTTTTTTAAATCTTGTTGGTTTTAGTCTACGGTGTTTTAAAGTCATAAAAGTATAGTAATCACTAGCACTTTATCAAAATTAACTAACTTAACACCCACAGAAATGAAAATAAAATGCGTCGTTTCTACGCCGTTTCTACAATATTTACCACGAGGACTCGCTTAAAAATCTAAATCAAGAATCTATCTTGAAAGCAGATGATACAAATTTAAGAATATGTTTGTTTTCAAATTTCCTCCCGCTTTAGCTGTCATTTGTTTCTGGTTGCTTGTTATTTGCAATTTCAGCGTACAAGAGCGGCGTTGAAAAGCGCGGGCACAGGGGCCGGCGTCGAATAGTATTGTTGTGCAGGGAGGGGGACGGGGAGCCTAGTATTGTTAAGCAGGGTAAGGGTAGGGGCCTGAAGTGACACTCACTCAGGCACCCGGACACGGTTCCCCCAGCGCTAAAGAAATTGTTTTCTGGTCTCCGCTTGATTCTCTTGCCGTTTCGAGAGTAAAAGCTAGCTGACACCTTAAATTTACTTTATATTCTTTACGTTTAGTCAAAAGGTTCTTAAGGTATCATCTGCTAAAAAATATTTCCTCTGTGCCTTACGAATCGAGCCTCAAATCACGCAATGCCTGCAACACGGCCAACTCCTCCACAATAGAGACAAACGAATTCATAATTCAGATACTCCATATTATGTTACGCTGGCACAAAAATCGGTGTAAATTACGTCCATAAGAAAATGCGAGAGTACCTCGGAGAGTACTTTGAAGACACATTTTTTTGAGGGACCCGTAACTTAATGGATTGTCGTTAAGTTACAAGTTCCCGGTACGAATTTAAATGCCCATAATCATTTTGTTACGTTGTTGTAACGTAACTTAATTGTAGCCATTTACGTTACACAGTGCACAGAGAAATAACGTATGTGATGAAGGAATTTTTCAGCAGTCTTTCGGTGCAAGGGGCTCGGCTTATGGCTCATGAAACCAATAACGTAGGATATTGGGGAGTATCTCGCAGGGCAACCGAAATAATAAATA